AGGCAGGAAGCGCTCATGTCCTTGGCTCGGTTTTCAGCTCAACACCTCACAGGAGCAACACGAGGGACATGGGCCCCTGAGAATCACCAGTCACTGAGCCCCAAAGGGCAGCGCCCTCCCAGGACAAAGCTCAGAAGGGTAGGAAAGATGGAGGGCTGGATCCGAAGAACAGGGCGGAAGGGGAGCCTGTGAGGTCACCTTGCCGGCTTGCAAACTTTGGGATGAAGGAGATTGGGGTGCATGGTTGCAAGGAAATCAAATGATGTGCTCTGCTAACCTGCACCCAAATCCCAGTTCACAGTTTACAACACCCTCACGCCCCAGGAGTCCAGTCCTCTTCCGTAACACAGGTGACATCACGCAGGTCAGAGTTGAAGGTAAAGGTTTTGCGTGAATGATGCAGTCGCTTCCCAGCATCCCTGGGGCCAGCACAGCTGGGTAAACTATGATGAGGATACTTTTCCCGGCCAGGAGATGGCACCCCAGTACCTCGGAGAGCACCTCGTAACTGGAAATGGGCACACAAGGTAGCATTTTATATTCAGTTCCTTTATTCATGTTATTTGACTGTTGTCGTGGTTGTGAGTGGTTTTGGAGTCCGTTCAGATCCGTAGATACCCCCATGAAGCACTGGACAGCCCTGCCCATCCCACAGTCATTGCCAAGTTGGAGCCTGTGGTTGCTGCCACCGGTCAGTCCATGCTCCTGAGGGTTTCCCCTCTCTCTGATTTACACAGCAGAACTCATTCTGAGGCTGAGCCCGCTCGATAGCATGCCCAAAGCAGGTGAGATAAAATCGTGCGGTCTTTGCTTGTAAGGAGCATTTAGAATGCACTTCATTCAAGGCAGGTGTCTGTGTCCCTCTGGCAGTCCAGGGTCCAGTTAACGTCCTTTCCCAGCAGCAGGACTTGGAGACGTCCATGTGGTGGCTCTCCTTACTCCCTGCCCTGCACTCACATGCATGTGAGCGCTTGAAAATGCCATGGCTGTGTCAGGACGCTGAGTCTTCAGTGTGCGGGCTTTGCTCTCCGGCACTTTGATGGAGTCTCAGCAGCAGAGTGCCCGTGCAATCTGTGGTGTCGTTTCTTGACTGCTGATTCCATGAGTGCTGGCTGTGGATGCAAGCAACATAATCTCCTGCACCACTTTGATATTTTCTCTGTTTATCGTGATGCTTATGTATTCTTTTGGAGTCTGTGAAAAAAAACACTGCACCAGGATTGGAGGAAGGCTCTGTAACAGTCTTCAATATACACGTGAGACCAGCTCGCTTGGTGACAGTGAAGAAAGCTCAAAGCACTTACTAATGCAGATCCAAGACATCAGCCTTCAGTATGGATTAAAACTCAGTGGAATGAATATGGAAATTCTCACAGCTGGCCCAATAGACAGCATCATGATCAATGGAAAAGATCTAAGTTGTCGATGGCTCCTAGCAATGACAATCAACGGTGGCTGGATTTTTTCCTCTCTTTTTCCTATCACACTTTTATTAGTGCTTCCTCCTCATATCATACAACTCATGAGTTCAATCGCATCGAGAAGAATTGCACAAGCTGTACCACCATCAGTTTTAGGACACTTTCTTTCTCCCCCTAGTTGCTATGACTGTATGTTTTCTTAGCCATGGAAAATACAGATATCAGATCATTCTTCAATTCAACACCTTCAACATGGAGAATTCAGTGCCGTTGAATATACTGTTTTGCAACCGCTATTGATTTGTGGATGGATTTCTGAGTTCATTCCCGGGTTGGGCTTTAGGTAAGGCAACTTCTCTAGATACCCTGTACAATTTTGAGGAAGGCTCATTTGTAATAATGTAAGAGTGGAATTATTCATTCATAGGGTTGAAGTTGGTCCCCAGTTGGTGTTCTAAGTTAATATTTGTTACCCAAAGAAAGGTTGGAGGTTAAAGTGCACCCAGAGGCTCCTGGGAAGATCTACTTCCAAAATGCAGCCATTGCAAACCCTGTAAAGCATGATTCTCTCTGACGTCCATGGGTTTGTCTTTCATCAGAATCAGCTCTACAGCAGGTGGGCAGTGGTTTCAGGGCAGCCTGTGATCAACTCTGATAGAACCATTGATCTGTTCCTCAGAGCTGCTCTACCAAGCGTGAATGGAAGGAAGGAAGCGTTCTCCCTGATCACGTTCTCTGTCTCCTCTTGCTTACTCATCCCGAGTCCATGCTGGACCTCCCCAGGGAGGAGGGAGTGAGAACAGAGAGATATTCCATATTGGCTACTCATGGGATGCCGGCTCCACCAGGCATATAGATTTTTTTTCACACCTCACATCCCTACACATCTGCTGACTCTCTTAGCAACTCTCATTACAAAAGGTTAAATAATGTGTTACTGCTAATTGCAAAACAGTGGAATATTTGTGACTCTTTTAGAAAGAGAATGCGTTCTCTCAGCTTGATCCTCTCATTGCTCTGTGTATCACTGGGGACCTAACATGGTACAAATGGCTGGCAATTGACTACTAACCTAGAGATAGATGTTTAGAATTCCCCATTGGCTCCTCAGTGAAAGACCTGGTCCTATACCTTCATAACAACTAGAGTCAAGAGAGCCCACAGGGGTTTCTACTCAGTGTCACAGGTGGGCATGGTCTGCAGGGCAGGGATAGCACAGGTGGCGACTCCAGTCTGCTGCTCTGAAGGAGGGAGGGTGTCCTGTTTCCTAGACAACTGAGCTTGGAGAAGGCTGTGGGGCAGGAGTGGGGTCTTGGAGGAGATGAGAATCCACTATGAAAAGGAGCCCAGCGGAATGCACCCCAACCAGGGAAGTAGGTGCTATGACCATTCCTTCTGGACTTTGGTGACCAGGTGTCCCTATTCTCTAAGGACACGCCTAAGCTTCGTCTGAATGTCCACCATCCCATGGACTCCTTTGGTCCCAGGGAATCCACGTCTCCCTGTGGTCCTCTCATTGCCTGTCATGTCTCCCTGATGCACCTTCAGCTGGGAAGTAAGGGGCTAGGACCCCAGGGGACAGCCTCCCACAGCTCCACTGTGTCAGGGCTGACTGAGGAGAACCCCAAGTGCCTGGTATGAGCTGAGGATGAGGGTTTCACAGTGTTCTCCCTGGGGCATCTTCACCCCTCATGTAAAAGGTGTTCACTTGATGACTGACCTACTGGTAGGGGTTCTGGACCCTCCCAGCAGTGTCAATGGTGGTCAGGGCTATGTCTATTAACACTTTCTGGTTAGGGTTCAGTGAACGCATATGCACAGTGACCCCTGTGCACAGGTAGAACTGTTCCATTGGGCTCTCCTGGCTGTGAGATTATCAGACCATGGTCTGCAAGCCTTTCTTCTGAGGGTCCCCTGGGAAGATTTGAACCACTTTGATTGGTGGTTCAGTGAAGAGTGTTTCACTGCAGGATCTTTGGTAACAGAGAGATAAACAAATAGAGAGTTATATAGAAACATAGAAATAACGATGAAGAAGATAAATAGAGGAAGATAACGATTATGACGACAGTGTAGATAGAAACAGATGCTGATAGATAGATACTGTGTTAGGCAGGGTTCCTTAGAAAGAAAAAACTAGGACACTTATGATTTTGTAGATATAAGAGAATAGGTTTATATAGCAAGTAGGAATGTAACATCTAATTACACCACACAGCAGTACAGAGGGATCAGTTCAACTCAATTCTGTGGAATAGTTAATATACTGAAAGTCCTTCAACTCAAGTGGGCTGCCAGGTGCAAGGTCAAGTGCATATACAACCGAGTCCTCCCTCAGCAAGACAGGTAAAGACCTCCCACAGGCAACAAACAGCAGGGTGGGTTAGCAATAGTCAGTAGCCCTGGAACTTAGTGAAACACACCAGGATGGGATATCAAATGTAAACAGTGCAAGGCAACAGGATCCATCAGCGTCAATCTCATGTGTCATACACATTAGTAACATGGAGAAGCAGCTTTCGAGGAGCCTCAAGCTCTAGCAACTCGATCCACAGGTTGGCTTGGCCCACAGGTAGTGCAGCACACAGGTTGAGGCAGAGAACTAGCTAAGGCAGCAGCACGCTGGTCCATCACCGGAGAGCAAACAGAGGAGGGCAGCCCTTGCAGAGCCATTGATCTCTTTGCCTTCCAATAAAACTGTGACTGAATTAATCCCACATGTTCCAGTTGGCACGGTTGGCACAATAAACCTAACCATCACAGTCCACCCCTTGCCAACTTGGCACCTGTACACAATTCTTTGGCCCTATAGAATTTCCATCCATTATACATATAAATGAAAACAGACTTAACCTAATTGTATGTGGTACCTTGTACATGAAGAAAGGAAAGATATTCAAAAAGAACATATAGAAAACAAATATTGACCATCAGAAACCTCGCTTTTGCAATTGATCACATGTACGTTCTTCTACTACCCCTTCTGTATTACCTTTACCCTGGGGAAACCTAACTATCTATATTAACTATCACAGATACATAGAGAGATACACATGATTATGATGATAGAAGCAAATGATGATGAAGATAAGTGTAGGTGATGATGATGAAGAGGAGGAGGAGAGAGATGGAGGGCTGGGAGGATGGATGCGTTCACAGGCAGACAAACAGACAGAGAGGATGCTGACTCATAGTGGAGTGACGTGTGCAGAGGAGAACTACTCCAAGGAGAATTCAAGGCTGTGACTTCTCAGAACTCTGTCACCAGGACTATCTTTCTGAAGACCCTCTGGGTGGGTTTGAACTTCCACCCTCACGTCTGAGAGGTGAGCGCGGTTCTGTCTGTGTGCCCCAGGTGCTCCTCCCTGGAGAACTCAGAGAAGAAACCACACTGGGCACTTCTACTCTGACACACATGAGGTGGTAGCAGTGGAAACCTCAGCCTGAGAGACAATGACAGCTCACAGTGACATCACAGGCCAGGGCCCAAGGGAAGTGGGAGTGGGGGATGAGCCTTCCAGTTGTCTCACCCCAGAGTCCCAGACGGGAAGGAAGCCGGGTCTGCCCTGCCCAGCGGCCATGGGCTCCTGGCTCTTCTGCTGGGTGCTGCTGTGTCTCTTGAGGGCAGGTGAGTTCCCTGATCACAGAAACCCTCAAGGCAGAACTGGTTTCTCTCCTGGGGGTGAAACCCTTCCTGAGCTCATCCATAACTCCACTCCCCACAGGCCCAGTGGACTCTGGAGTCACCCAGACCCCAACACACCTGATCAAGTCACGAGGCCAGCGGGCCACCCTGAGCTGCTCCTACATCTCTGGGCACCAGTCAGTGTACTGGTACCAGCACGCCCAGGGCCAGGGCCCAAAATTCCTCATCCAGTACTTCAACAGTGAGGAGAGAGAAAAGGGTGACATCCCAGGCCGGTTCTCGGTCCAGCAGTTCAGTAACGACAGCTCCGAGATGATCCTGAGTGCCCTGGAGCCCGGGGACTCAGCCGTGTTCCTGTGCGCCAGCAGCATTGACACAGCCCTGCAGAGTCACTGCCGCCCTGGGCACAAACCTCCTGCTGGCTCAGGAAGTGGTGGTGGGGAGCAGCTGGGCTTCCCCTGGCAGCTGAGTATCTCTGAGAGGCTGACATTCCCGTCACTGTCAATGCCTGTGTTGTTAGCAGACAGGCCAGTCTCAGTTCCATTCCACCTACGAACACTCAAGGCAGCAGAACTGCACATCACCCTGTGCAAGAGGCGTTATTTGTCACCACGTTGACCAACACTGATGCCCTGGTGGGACTGTGGGTTAGGCATTGCTCTGCTAACCTGAAAATGGGAGGTTCAAACCCATCAGCTGCTCTGAAGGAGAAAGATGAGGCTGGCTGTTCCCCTAAAGATTCCCATCACTGTGCATTGGAAGGTCTCCGTGGCAGTGGGGTTGATGCTTTGAGGATTGACAAATAGGAATCACCAGTCCCTGGAGAGATGATTGTTTCTGAACATAAAGACAGGAAGACCCCAACCAGGGTCCCAGGCTACACAATGGCTACACCCCCAACCCCCAACAGCAACAATGAAGCAATGGTTGGACGAGGGTCACAGTGACTTTGGAGAGGTCGCTGTGTGGTTGGGCGGTCCACGTGGTTTGGTGGGTGCACCAAGCTCCCCCTCAGCCCAGTGCCTTGGATTTGAAGCCACCTTCTCCCCACTGCATGCCCAGTCTCCTGTCCTCAAGGACAGACCCATCTGCATTTGGCCCCATGGTTTCTGAGGATGCACCCTAGTTCAGCCCAATAGGCGACAGTGCTGTGGAGCTCTGGGGAGGAGATTGGGATGAAATCGCCCACAGATGTCCTCCTGTGCACAACAGACTGAAGCACTGCATGGTCCCGTGGCATCCTCACAACTGTTCCTGAGCCTGCGCCCTCAGCAGGATCGGCACAGAGATGCGGGCAGAGTCGGGACCTGAGCACAGGCCATGGTCTCCTCGTGCACAGGCCGTGGAGCCGGAGGTCCGGCATCACAGGACGAGGTCAGGGAGAGCACTTCCTCTAGGGCTCTCCCCAGAGGGTGCAGACCCCGTTGTGTGTCAGTTCTCTCTGTGCTTGGGGACGGGCGTGACCACTGAGGGGACTCTGAGGATTGGGGAAGTCCAAGAGAGTGACATCACTTGGTGACTCACCTGCAAGGCCAGGTCCTGCTTCCCAGCCTAGAGCCTGAGGCTATGTTCCCCAGTTCCTGAGCAGGCGAGGGTCCCCTCTTACTCTCTATCTCACCCAGACAGCCATGAGCTACCAGCTTCTCTACTGGGTGGGTCTCTGCCAGCTGGGAGCAGGTAAGCGCTCATCTTACTGCTTAGTTCCACTGTTTGTGTTTATGGTTGTCTGTGTGGTGTGTATACATGTGTGTTCTCTGTCTATCTAGATATGTGGTTATGTGTGTGGGGGGGGCATGTCTGTATAGATATGTGACTGTGTGTGCAGTGATTCCCATATTGTCTATCTTGATCTGTCATCTGTCTCCACAGATCTTACAGGAGCTGGAGTCACCCAGACCCCCAGGCACAGAGTCACAAAGTGGGGCCAGGCTGTAGCTCTCACATGTGATCCAATTTTGGGGCACCCTCATCTTTTCTGGTACCCACAGCCCCTTGGGCAGGGTGCAGAGTTTTTGATGTACTTTGATAACAAGGATGCTGTGGACACGTCGGGCATGCCTGGGGCTCGGTTCTCTGCAGACAGACCTGAAGGCTCGTCTTCCGCCCTGAGGATCCAGCCTGCAGGGCTGGGGGACTCGGCAGTGTACCTGTGTGCCAGCAGCTTAGCCACAGCATGAAGCTGCCACCTGCTTCCTGTGCACAGACCCTCACGCCCTCGCCTCTTCTCCCTGCCCGAGGACCCAGAACTAGGATGGTGCCTGTTTCCCTCACCTAGGGCTACGGGCCAGTGTGGATTCCACTGTCCCCTGACAATAAGTCAGCAGGAAACCACCTTTGAACACTTAGAACAGGTAACATGGGCCAAATGACGATGGATTGGCTGAGATTCCTAAATAGAGCTTATGGCTCTATAACTGGTGTTGGACACCAGAGCCTCAGCTTCCACGCTAGCAGCCAACTTATATTCTCTTAATAAACGATAACATTGGACAACATTTATATAAATTCCCATTGGTAAGTGTCGTTCACTCTGACCTACATCATGCCCAGATGAGAGCCTACCAGGACACAGTGAGGTGGAGGCCATATCCAGCCACCAGCCTCAAAATAATAATACTAGTAACAGTAATGACATAACGGGCCATGAAAACGTCAGTCTCCACAACCTTGGGACCAGAGAACTAGAGGGTGCCCGGGTCCCTCCACTCCCAACTGCTCTGAAAGCCACCCTATGAGAAAGTGCTGGAAGCGTGTGAGACAATTGGGGAACCGAACCCAGAATCAAAGAGAAGCTCATGCTCACTGCTGGGGTGAGCATGGTGGGACCCTCGGTCAGGAGCAGATTTACATCTGTGTTAGCATAACCAACCACTTAACACAAAGGGGCAGAATGCACCCAAGGACTGAGTTCCATGGCTGAAAAAGCAGGAGGAATGATTGCAGGAGGCACAGGAGAAAGTGGGATTGGCAAGGATGACTGCACGTGAGCACTGCACTGGAGGAGGCGCGTTGGAATATATAATACTCCAATAATAAATTCCCATTGGTAAGCGTCGTTCACTCTGACCTACATCACGCCCAGATGAGAGCCTACCAGGACACAGCGAGGTATGCCGTGATCAAGGGCCTGACCAAGCTATGGTGTTTTCATTCCCCCGACGGCAGATTCTACGGCTATTCATGTGGTTGCGGTGGCGGATTCCTCAAACGGAGGCCTCCTAGTGCTTCTTCGTAGTCGATGGGGGGTCTGAACGTTCTGATGAAGCCGGATCAGTTTGAGTGACCCAGCGAGTAAGCCCTTGAAGTAGCAATGACAGCTTCCAGTGTCGTAGTAGCATGTGACCCAGCACAGGACGGCAGCCTGGCAGACAGGGAGAGGGTAGCAGGAGCCGGAAAACCTCATTAACGGCAGCAGAAAGAGCACTGTCAGACATGGTGCTGGAAGGTGAGAGCTTCAGGTTGAAGGCATCAAAACCGGACCGAGGAAGAGCTGCCTGCTCAAGGTAGAGCCCCCACAGAGACAGGGATGGAGGCAGGCCTGCAGGGAAGGCTGTGGGCGGCACCTGGCCTGGAGAGGAACAGCTTCGAACATCGTCCAACACTCAGGATGTGAACGCGCGTGAAGCATGAATAAAGGAAAATGGAAAGTCATGAAAAATAAGGTCGACCAGATAGCAACTAATATCCTAGGCACAAGTGAGCAGAACCGGACTGTCTGACGCTGGGCTCCTTCGTGAGACACCCACAGCGTTTCCTGTGCCCGTGGTGACACTTTCAAGAGGAATGACATCACTTTAGTCATCCAAAGGACAGTTTCAGATCAATCTTGACGGATAATGCTTTCTGCGATTGAATGAGATCTGTCCATGAACAAGTAAATCAAGTCAGTAGCACTTTTATTCACATTTGCACACCAACCAAAAAGCTAGCCATAAATAAATTGAAGAGCGCCACCGATGTTTTCAGTCTGAACTGATGAAACCTGCCATCAAAGGTCATTGATAATTATTGGTGTTTGGAATGTGAACGTTGCAAACAAAGAGGAAAGAACTGTAGTTGGGAAACGTGACTTGGTTGATAGAAACCAAGATGGAGATGGTATGATAGAATTTTGCAAGGCCAACAAGATCTTCATTGCAACACCTTTTTTCAACAGAATGAAGAATAATGATACAGGTGGAATTCTTCATGTGGAAAACACTGAAATCAATCTGAGTGCATCTGTGGGAAAAGACAACGGAGAAGCTCAATATTAGCAGCTCAAAGCAGCCCAGGGACTGTGGAAAAGAGCATCAGGTGCTCACATGGAAGCTCTGGTTGAAGCTCAAGAAGCTTTAAACAAGCCCACGAGTGCCAAAATACCACCTGAGTGTGTTCCCCACGAAGCTGGAGAACATGTCAAGAATCGATGTGACTCATTGACCACTAATGATGTAGCTGGTGAACTGTGGAAGGTGGCATCAGTCACGATCCGTGAAGAAAGCCGGAGAGCCCGAAAACGACAGGAAGGAAAGAAAGACCAGAGTGAGGTCAGAGGAGACTTGAAGCTTGCTCTTGATCATGGCATAGCTAAAGCAGCTGCAGGAAATGATGAAGCCAAAGAGGTAAAAAGACGTTTCCGGGGGCATCTTGAGAAGCCAAAGTAAAGAATTGCAGAGAAATATGCAAAGACCCGAAGAAAGAAAGCGAGACATACAAGGACGCATTCAGCCTACACCCAGCTGAAAGAACTAAACAAATGAGGCATTCCTCTAACTGCATTATGAAATGACTCTATGGGCACAATATCGAAGAATTCAGGAAACATCAAAAGATGATGGTAGGAATAACCAGAGCCGGAATCCAAAGGAATTAGTTGGCATTCAACTATTTCACGAGCTAGCATCTGATCAAGAACCGATGGTACTGAAGGAAGAAGTTCAAGCTCAACTGATGTCATGCCTCCCGACCCGACTTGCAAAATTTTTTTAAAAAGCTCCAGGAATGGACAGAGTCTGAAATAAAAATGGTTTAATACGCTCATATGAAGAACTCACTCATTTACTTCAAAATTTTGGATTGTAGAATGTGGAAATTATCCAAGACTATCAGTAATATTACATGTAAGTAAGATCTGTCGGCAACGCTTGCAGCACTACATTGACAGGAAGGTGCCAGAAATCTCAGCTGCATTCAGGGGAGGTCATGGAACAAGGGATGTCACTGGTGACAGGAGCTGGATCTTGGCTCAAGGCAGGGAATAGTAGAAGATGTTTGTGCTTTGCAAGGATTGTGCAAAGTATTCGAGCATGTGGATCAAAGTCAAACTGTGCATGACTTCCCAACCCTGGGAATTCCAGACCACTTCATTGTGCTCATGCTGAAACTTTCCATGGG